GCCCCACTCTCCACCAAGTGCTCGACCCTCCACCTCATCGCCCCGTTTGAGTCCACACTTCCCTCCTCCAGACACCCGCCCTTCGCTTCCCGTAACGATGCCGTTAGCGTCCTCCTTATCCGGCTCCTCCTCCTCAGCCGCGGAAAGTTCCCTCCGAGTGTCTGCCGATCTGTCTGCTTCTTCACTAACCCCCCCCCCTTGCATATCTCAACTCCTCACTCTTTAGTTCCTCTTACTCTGTCCGTCCATTCTTTTCCCTCCCTCCTTCCCTCCCTGCTCGCTCCTTTCCCTCCCTCTCTCCTTCTTTCGCCATCGCTCTCCGCTCATTCTCGCTGCCATCCCTTCCACCCTCCCTCTCCTGCCTGCGCTTGCCTTCCCTCTCTCTCCTTCCTTCCCTCCCTCTGCCCTCCTCCTTCCTTCACTCTCCCTCTCCCTCCTCCTTCGCTTCCCTCCCTCCTCCTCCTTCCCTCCCTCTCCTCTCCTGCGCTCCTTCCCTCCTCTGCCTCCTCCTTCCTTCCCTCCTCTCTTCCTCCTTCCGCTTCCTCCCCTCTCCCTGCCTTCCTCCTCTCCTCATCCTCCTTCGCCTTCGCCTCTCTCTCCTTCCTCCTCTCCCTGCCTTCCTGCCTTCCTCCTCTCCCTCCTCCTTTCCCTCCTCCCTCTCTTGCTCCTTGCTTCTTCCCTCTTCCCTCTCTGCTCTCCTCCCTTCGCCTCTCTCCTCCCTCCCTTCTTCCTCTTCTCTCATTCCCTCCCTCTCTCCTCCTCCTTCCCTTCTTCTCCTCCCTCCCTCCCTCTGCCCCCTCCTCGCTTCCCCTCCTCTCATCCTCCTTCCTTCTCCTTCCCTCCTCACTTCGCTTCTTCCCTCTCCCTCGCTCCTCCTCCCTCTCTCCTCCTCCTTCTGCTTCCTCTTCCCTCTCCCTCCTGCCTTCGCCGCTCTCTCCTCTCCCTCTCCTTCCCTCCTTCCCTCCCTCTCCCTCCTTCCTTCCTTCCCTCCCTCTCCCTCCTCTCCTTCCTTCCCTCCCTCTCCCTCTCCTCCTCCTTCTTCCCTCCCTCTCCTCTCCATCCTCCTTCCTCCTCTCCCTCCTTCCCTCTTCCTCTCCCTCTCCTCCTCCCCTCCTTTCCTTCCCTCTCCCTCTCCCTCTCCTTCCCTTCCCTCCTCCTTCCCCTTCCCTCTTCCATCCCGCAGTCAGCATCCCCTTCCATCTCCATCCTCCTCCTTCCCTCCCTCTCCTCCTGCCCTCTCCTCCTTCCCTCTCCATCCCGCAGTCAGCATCCCTCCGTCTCCATCTCAGCGCAGGCGTCGCGGTACGAAAAAATCCCTTTTTGGCGAAATGCAAAAACGAAGCCTTTTTATCCCCCCCCCCCCCCGTCGCGTCGCCCATAATGACGTCAGGTT